GAAGTGACGGGGGGGGGGGGGGGGGGAGGCAGATAAAGATTAATGCAGACAAAGCCTTCACAGGCTGCCTGCACGAACATTGCCACCGACAGACAGGCAGTTTTAGGAAATGAGAGGACTCTTGGGAATCATCAGAGTCTCTGAAAACCATTCTCACGGAGCTTGCAGACCCCCAAGCAGTGGAGCTGTTTTCATTTCATGTGTTCTGAAATGAAAACAGAAATTTGCATGTGTTCTGAGGTAGATTTCATCAGTTCTGACCTCCAGGCTCCATCCTGAGTTACTAGGAAACCCCATTCCCAGTAAGTGCTGGCGTCCAGAGCATCCCTGGAATGGTCATCCTCTGAGTGTCTTAGCATGCTGGCTGACACCGAGAGATGATGCAGCTCAGAACAGTGCCCCCGTGTGGTTCTTTTCTCTTCTAGGCCAAGGCCGCTGGCGATGACGAGGCCATGTTCATAGATGAAAACTTCTGCACTGCCCTGGAGTACGGGCTGCCCCCCACAGCTGGCTGGGGCATGGGCATTGACCGAGTCACCATGTTTCTCACAGACTCCAATAACATCAAGGTACAGCAGCCCCCCGTGTGCACACCAGCCTGAAGCGCTCCACTGGGTCAGACCTGGGCGTGGTGGGCCTGGAGAATAAGAGTGCGCTTTGGGCTGGAGGGAGGAGCGGGCACAGGAGTTATATGTAGCGCCATGGGCAGAAGATCTAACCTTTCAGGATTTGAGGCAGAAGGAATACGAATCGCTGCATTTCTTGAGGATCCAAGAAACATGCTATGCATTATCTCATTTAACTTAAGTCAGCCCTTTGCGGTGTAAAAGCTATTGTTAGTCCATTTTTATAGATGAGGAAATCAAACTTTCAGAGAGCTCCCACGTTTATTGATTCCCTTGACACTGTGCCCCGGGCAGTGCTGTGCATGTTTGCATTCTTTTCCGTCCTCTATAATGGAAAGGAACTGAGTTGAATTAAAGAACACATCTGTCTTTTCAACTGGGTTTTGGTTGTAACGATATCCAGAGGCAAAAGGAATGGGTGGAGAGCTGGGGGATTGGGGGAGTGTTTCTTAGCTTCAAAATGCATTTTATCTCCTGTAGGAAGTACTTCTATTTCCTGCCATGAAACCTGAAGACAAGAAGGAAAATGTAAATGCTGATACAGTGGAAGGCACAACAGTTGGCAGTTCTGTCTAGAACATAGTAATTGCAAGTCACAGAACTCAGGCATCTTTGCACTATTGCAGAAGATCAAGGACTGCAAGGGAATTCTTGTATGTTGCTATCCACTTGACTATTGCAGTTCAGTAACCACAGAGAGAAAAGGAAGAATTCCTCTTTTACTTCTTATTACCAAATAAACCATTTGTCTCTATTCCTGCCTCATCACTCTTTTACCTTCGGAATGTCACCTTTTTTCTCAGGTTGCTAGCTGGGTGAAATAAGATGTGTTTAAAATTAGTTTCACCTATTTAGTTTGACTTTTTAAAATATGTCTATTAGAAACTTTTATATTACATATCTAGCTCAAATTATATTCCTATTAGACATTGCTGTTTTAGACAGAAATTCAGGCTAGTGTTCCATGACATGATATCATTCTACTATTCTTTGAACCATGCCTTACCCCGGAGTCAGCTTCCACAAGCCACTGGACTAAGCACCGGCACCACGCCCCCTGAAGGACTACAAGAGCCAGCATTCCCTGCGCGCTTCTGGGGGCGGGGCTTGGGAGAACAGCCTCTGTGGCGTCACGTTCCCGAATCTGCGCGGTTCCGCTCGTTCCCTCCAGGGCGCGTGTCTTGAAGGAGGGCGGGGAGCGGCGGTGAGACGGTGGGTTTCCTCGGCCTCGGGTACGCGAACGAGCTGGAGATCTTGGCCTCCCGGGGAGGTGTCCGAGGCCATATTGAGTGGGAAGAGGTGAGGACCGTGCCACCCCCGGTGCGCGCTAACGTGGCAAACAAAGTGCTGCTCCTGGCTCGGCAGTGCCCGTGTGCGCCGCGTGTCAGGGCTCCAGCTGCTGGCGAGCGCGCGAGGGGCGGGAGGGTGCCCTCGCCGCCGCTTCCCGCATCACCATAACCCGTCATCCCTGCTTCCCGGGTCTGGAGACCCCCTTGTCACCTTGGGTGTCTGGGGTAACTGGACGAATGGGCCCCAGCCCAGGCCTCTGGAGAAGAGGGTCCGCTGGCAGCCGACCTGCCTTAACGTTTATGTATTTCAAAAGGTAGCGTGTTCATGAGCTCTTTGCAATTGTCATAGCAAGCGGTCTTGGTCTTGCGGGCCAAAAAAATAATAACCTGTTTAACTGAGCTATATTGTTGCACAGGAAGAAGCTGTTCAAGATTTAGGAGAGAAGGGGGTTTGAATTTTAGTGGACCCAGTGTGTGTGTGTGTGTGTGTGTGTGTGTATTTTTTTTCTTCATCTGTTGTGCAGGGTCTCATCCAGACTCACGTGGGTTAAAGAGGTGATAGACCATTCTGGGCTGCTTCATCTTAGGCATTGATGAAGAACTTACAGCAAGTTCTGCCTTCCTTGCTGTTAGTAGCTCTTGGTGTGTTGTATCTCCGGTTTAATTGCAGGCTGTTTCACTGAGTATCTGCCTTCATAAAATATATTGCCCTGTGATAGCAGCCGCATCCCTTCCCCCTAGAAATGAGAAGGAAATCCAAATGGAGGATTTTAGCGTCTCCCATACTTTTCTTTTGCTCCCATCGATGCGAGACTTAATGTTGGTTTACTGACTTTAAAGTCACAGTTATATCAGTTTCTGCCAGGTTCTTGTTTTTAAATCACTCTGATCTGATTTTCTATGACCAATTATTGCAGTAACAGGCCTGCACATCTGAACTGCCAAGTAGATAGACATGTGAAATAATTTTAAAAGTTTATTTGAGCAATATTAATCCTCTAGCACCAAACCGGAAGTGGTTTGGAGCACTCTGGAGAAAGGAGCTAGGAGAAAGAAAGTGCATAAGCAAGAAGGGAAATTATTTGATTGGCTATAGCTTAAACCCTAATTGGCTGTGATTGGTTGTCCTTAGTATTTCGATATAAGCTTTGTAGAGGTAAGAAAGGACCAAACCTATAATTTTATGAGTGTATTTGAACCAAACTGACAAATGCCAGGAAGCAGAATCTTGATGGACTGAGAAAATACTTTAGAGAATGGCAGTTTTGCAACTTATTTTATGTATTAGAATAAAAGGAGGCATAGGAGGGTTATATGAAACCCATGTAGATTAAGGGAGCTGGAGAAAGCAAAGCAGGGACATCTCTGGGATTGGATAAAAAGGCCAAAGAGAAAAACACATAGATGTTTTACATTGGTACATACAGGATAGTCAATCATCAACATTTATAGCACACTAGAGGCCTGATGCAGGAAATTCCTGCAAGAGAAGGCCTTCCTTCATCCAGCTGCCAGCACCGCATTCCCTCTGGCATCCGGAACCCCGGCTTTCCTCTGGCCACCAGCAGGCACCCGGGACTTGGCCTTTCCTCGAAGCCTGGGCTTCATCCAGAAGGTGATCCAGAAGGATGTCCGGTCTAATTAGCATGTTAGACTTTTATTATTATAGACTAGAGGCCTGATGCATGAAAATTCATGCAAGAGTAGGCCTTCCTTCCCCCGGCTGCCAGCACCGACTTCTCTCCAGCACCCAGACCTGGGCTGCTTCCCTCTTCCAGCCACCCACAGGCAACAGGGACCCGGACTGGCTTCCCTCCAGCCCTGGCTTCATGAGGAAGGATGTCCGGAAGACATCTGGTCTAATTAGCATATTACCCTTTTATTATTATAGATTGTAGATAGAAGGTGGTATGTGGGGAACAAGATGACAATGAGGGCTTCTATAGTCTCTTGCTCTGGTGGTAGTTGTGCTCTCAAGAGTCTGGAAAAGGAGAATACTCTGATATTTCAAAAGTATGTTTTCTTCGATGCAGAAAGACAGTAGGTTCACTTAAGGTAAAGATTGACCTTTGTTAAGGAATCTACAGGCCTGGGATATGACTACCCACCGTAACTTGCTTTTTGTTAGGAAGTTGTATATTCAAGTCATCTATGTAGTTACTTTTGGTCTCTTGAGTTTGTAAGGCTTACCATATAGGCCTTCCCTGAGCTTGTCAGGTTTAGGATGTGGCCCTTCTTTCCTTCACATCCAAAGGTTCCTCCAGATTTGGTTTTCCTCCAAATCAAAGGTTCTTTTTACTAATACTAATTACAGTTGACACTAATTACGCTCAATATTATAGCAGTTACTTTTTATAGATACTTAATCCTCACAATGACCCCTTGGATTAAATTTGACTATAATTATTATTTTAATGGATGAAGAAACAGACACAGATTAAGCAATCTACCCAGTTCCACACGGTTAACATAGGCAAAGCTATCATTAGAACCCGGAAATGGTGACTAGAACCCACACTCTTCACAATTCCTATGAGAACACTTGATTAGTGAGAGGCTACTGGGCTCTGTCACTTCACTGCATCCTAAAACATTATGGGAGAAATTAGGTTGCTTTCCTGAGAGGGGCATCAGTGGGGATTTACTGGAGGGAAGTACAGAACCAATTTGCACCCTAGCCAATTTGTCTTAGTAGATAGAGTGTCATCCTGCAGGGGCATGTAGGAGGCAGCCAATCAATGATTCTCTCTCATTGATGTTTCTATCTCTCCCCCTCTCTCTTCCTTTATGAAATCAATAAAAAATATATATATTTTAAAACAGCTTGAAAAAATAGTTGCCTTCTGGGGTTGGTAGGATTGGGGATTTCTTTGATCTTTCCTTAAAGATGAAAATGGGCAGGGAAATGGGAGAAAATGACCCATAGGGTTTCAGATAAAGAAACCTCAGTGTAAACACAGGTTGAGCTACACCGGAAAGCCTGATGAAATACACTGGTGCGAGGGTGTAGCCTTGTGCATTGGTCCTCTTTTCTGGACTTAGGATGGTTGCGATTTTTGATCAGGCTCTCAGCACCAGCTCAACCATGTGGACCCCGGATGAGATTGCGCGCCTGTGTTACGAGCACTATGGGATCAGGCTGCCCAAGCAGGGGAAGCCTGAGCCCAACCGGGAATGGACGTTACTGGCAGCTGTGGTGAAGATACAGCCTATAGCTGGCCAACCCCATGACTGCCCAGACACACAGGTACAAGGTGAGACTTTTCTCCTTGAAACTCCTTCTTGATGGTAGAATGATACACAGCTCTACACAATTGGACATGTTCCGTTGCTCTCCGCCAGGTGGCGCAGAACTTCAAGTGGTGGGAAATGGCCTTGCTGGAACCACAGTCCTAGATGGGTCAGCCTATGGGAATGCTGAGGAGTGTGCAGACTTATTAAACCCAAGGCCTGGGGACTATTACAATTCTAAAAGCTCACTATTAACTCGTTTTCTCTCCCCTCAGTGACAAAGGAAGTTGTCTCAATGGGAACAGGAACAAAATGCATAGGCCAGTCCAAAATGAGGAAGAGCGGTAAGCCCACGTTGGGTCTAAACATTGCCTGTCTAGGGAGCTTTGGAAATGGTGTCCATGGTTGCACTTTCCTCTCCAGGGCCAAGGGGTCATCTTACTGAGATGGCTGACATTTCAGTTCATGCTGTCTGTCCCTGGCTCCTGTTGGAAGGACAGAACTCATTCAAAGAATGGGAATAACCAGTGGAAGCAAAGGCTGCCACGAGTACGCTATCTGAGTGGATTGAAAGTTGGCCAGTATTTTCATGCTCAAACAGAAGTTCCCTGGGCTTGGCTAATTTTCAGTATCTCTGGAAACCCAGAAAGCAATCTTGACTTAGACTTCGGCAGCAAAAAGAATATGGAAATTGCTTGGAGATCTGGCTTCTTCATCTTCTGCTTCCAGTTAGCAGAGGCCTCCTCGAGTTTCCTTTGCCCATTCTCCTAGCTTTGCCTCCTGTATATGAGGAAGTTGTTCAAGGACCACTATGGATTGAATCCCATGGAAATGTATCAGCATGAGCCTAAGTATGACACCAGGGCACACAAGATCTGGACCCCTGTCCTCCAGATAAAGATTTCCCTGTAAATCAGTAGTTCTCAGCTAGGGGAGATTTTGCCCCCATGGGACATTTGGCAATGTCTGGAGACATTTTTGGTTGTCATCTGGGAGAGGGGAGTGTGCTGCTGGCTTGGCAGGAATGCTGGACAGACCTCCACAACAAAGAATTTCCTGGTCCAAAATGTCAATAGTGCTGAGTTGAGGAAGCCTGCAGTAAGTGCATTGCCGTTAATGATTGTGATGTTTTCTGGCAAAGCCCTCCAGGAGCTACAGGCCGTCCTGGGTGTTGGGGGAAACTGCTGTGTTTGCTGCCAGGAACCAGGGCGTCTCCAGGTTCCTGTGTCTTCACTAGTGTCCTGTCTTTGCCACAGGAGATATCCTCAATGATAGCCATGCTGAGGTCATAGCCAGAAGGAGTTTCCAAAGGTAAAGTCACATCTCCAGAGAGTCTGAGTTAGCCTGGGTTGGCCCCAGAATTTGCATTTCTAATAAGCTCCCAGAAAAACAGATTATGTTATCTAGCCTGTGAACTAAACTTTGACTAACACTGGCCTATACAGTGGGTCTCATGCTTGAGTGTACATCAGAATCACCTAAGGGGTTTGTTAAAATCCAGATTGCTGGGCCCAACCCCGAAGATTCTGAATCAGCAGGTCAAAAGTGGAGCCTGAGAAGTTGCATTTCTTTCATTTCTCCCCTCCCCCCCTTTTTTTTTTAGACATTTCTAACAAATTCCAGGTGATGCTTATGCAGCCAGTTCAAGGACCACACTTTGAGAATCACTGGTCTAGATTTCTCATAATTCCAAATAACTATCAGTTCCATTGGTCGTTAGTAGATCTTTCTTAGTAATTACCCAGCGAGTCTCCCCCTTTACCACAGAGATTGGTATTCTTTCTGATACCATCCTGCATCCATTAGGTACCTCCTCCATCAACTTCACTTGGCGGCCACCCTGAAGGAGGACAGCATCTTTATCCCAGGGACTCAGAGAGGACTGTGGAAACTCAGACCAGGCCTTTCGTTCTTATTTTTCTCCAGCCATACGCCCTGTAAGTATAGTTAGGCCTTTGGATTAATGTTGCATTGTTTACTTCCTTATGTTTGTCTTATCCACAGATATGTTTCTCAAAAAACAAAACACTTGTGGCTGAAGTGTAGCTTTAACCAACAGCGGTGCCTTTTTGTGAACAGGCCAGTGTGCCTCACCATTTCTCTGCCAAGAAAAGGCAGGGGGTAGGGGTATCCAGGCAGGGGGACTCACTTCTCAGTTTCTAATCAGGACTAGGGAACCTAAAGCCAAAACCCCACCAGGTCTGAAACCAACAGTAAGGCTTAGAAGTATAAACTTATTTCATTCATTCACTGATCTCATTCATTCATTCACGCATTAAACAGATATTTTCTGCTATTTGTCAGGGACAGTATGACACACTGGGGCAGTGAGTAAGACTAGCCCCTTGCTTACTCTCATGGGACATTTCAGGGAATGTTGACAATTATGGTTAGTTAAGGTAAATTTTGGTGAGTTACAGGTGCTGTGGTTGCATTAGACAGGAAGACCAGACCTGGCCTACAGAGAGTCATTTCTATTGGTTTTGTCTTGAAAATTAAGAATAATTTCTGCCCTTGGTAGGCAACAACTCAGGGATGGCTGTCCTCACTGTAAAATCTTTGAAATAAGGATGTAAGATTATTCTCTGTGTATTAAACTTTAAGAGTAACACATGTAGTTAGAGCAAAGATAGGTAATCACTCTTAAGAGACAGAATAGCTGTGAAGACTTGATCATAACTCAAATAAAAAATATAGTTTAAGCCGAAACCAGTTTGGCTCAGTGGTAGAGCGTTGGTCTGCGGACTGAAAGGTCCCAGGTTCGATTCCTGTCAGGGGCATGTACTTTGGTTGTGGGCACATCCCCGGTGGGAGATGTGCAAGAGGCAGCTGGTCGATGTTGCTCTCTCATCGACGTTTCTAGCTCTCTATCTCTCTCTTCCTCTCTGTGAAAAATCAATAAAATATATTTAAAAAAATATATATAGATAGATAGATAGATAGATAGATGATAGATAGTTTAAGAAAGAATGAGTCGGAAAAGCAATCAATATAATACCTTAATTAAAAAATTTAAAAAAGAAAAAGAAAGAATGAGTCTATTGAAAAAGAGTTAGTTAAGAGTCAAAGGTCAGAAAAATAATAGGGTTCATCCATGCTGTTCTTAACAGTGGTTGCTCTGGTCGTAGGACCAAAGGATGTTTCCTAACTCAGTGTCTCTCAAACTGTAATATGCATACGAATCACCCAGGAATCGTGCTAAAATGCAGATTTAAATTCTGGGGTGGAGCCTGAGGTTCTACATTTCTAATCAACTCATGGTTGATGCCAGTGGTGTTGGCCTGAGGACCACACTTTGAGTAGCCAGGGTCTGGCTGATTCTATCAATAGTAGAGAATCAGATGCATCTGGGGATCAAGCACCTAATCAAATGACATAAATCAATGTCCGCAGGTTGGTACTGCTCTGTGAGTGTATTGATCTATGAGAAAAATCAGGACTATTTAGTGAGTTTTTTAAAAAGCTAATTTCTTTCAATTAAAGGTTATAAAATTTTAATCTTTTTAAAATAGCAGTAATTAGGATTCTTAAAAGACCTCACTTGATGGGATAAAAAGTTGATCGCCTTCTGTTAATCTTAAAATCTTTTGGAAATTTTACTGGTCTGTGAAATAAAAATCTAGAGCCATTAATCTAACTCCCTAGCTCATTTAAAAAATATTTTTTACCCAAAAATATAAGAGAAAATTTGTTTAGTAAGTCACAGAGGTAGAAGTGAACAGTAGAAGAAACGGGCTCAGGAGTTAATGGGCTGTAGATAAGAACCTGCCTGCATGTTCCCTGGAGGGAGAGCTCTAAAAAATTTTTTTAAATGTGATGCCCACCCCTGGTTTGTCTGAAAGAAAGAACACTACCTAAGGAATGTGACTATTTGGCTGTCTTGGCACTTGTTCCTCATTATTAATTGATAATTTGGTGCATGGGTTAGTTACTTCAGACTCTTTTTTGTGAGTTTTATTAGCATGAGTCAGCCTCTCGAGTGCAGCCATCTGTCAAGATCAAATCTCTGCGCCTGCAGAGTGGGAGGTGAGCCCTGATAAATTCTCCAAAGTCACTGTCACCTTATGAGGTCTCTGGAAATCTGCCAGCCAGCCTCTCTGGCAGCACGCCCACTAATGCATCTCTTGCCTTTCCCACTCTTGGGTTTTAAAGCTGCAGATGTATTACTCACATGCTTTAGAAAAGCACCACATTAGGTTAGTGTTTGAAGAAATAGCTCCCTTCTCAAAAGCTGTGCTCTTTTTTTTCCTTTATTGATTAAGTTATTACATATGTGTCCTGATCCCCCATTACTCCCCCTCATCTGTGTCTGTATCCATTGGTCAGGCTTATATGCATGCATTCAAGTCCTTTGGTTGATCTCTCTACCTTATCTCCATCCTCCCCTACCTTCCCTCTGAGGTTTGACAGTCTGATCAATGCGTCTCTGTCTCTGAATCTGTTTTTGTTCATCAGTTTATGTTGTTTATTATGTTCCATAAATGAGTGAGATCATGTGATATTTATCTTTCTCCGACTGGCTTATTTCACTTAGCATAATGCTTTCCAATTCCATCTATGCTCTTGCAAATGGTGAGAATTCCTTTTTTTTACCATAGCGTAATATTCCATTGTGTAGATGTACCACAGTTTTGTAATCCACTCACCTGCTGATGGGCATTTAGGCTGTTTCCAAATCTTAGCTATGGTGAATTGTGCTGCTATGAACATAGGGGTGCATATATCCTTTCTGATTGGTGTTTCTAGTTTCTTAGGATATATTCCTAGGAGTAGGATTACTGAGTCAAATGGGAGTTCCATTTTCAGTTTTTTGAGGAAACTCCATGCTGTTCTCCACAGTGGCTGCACCAGTCTGCATTTCCACCAGCATTGCATATAAGGGTTCCTTTTCTCTGCATCCTTGAAGCACTTGTCATTTGTTGATTTGTTGATGATAGCCATTCTGACAGGTGTGAGATGGTACCATATTGTCATCTCTTGGAGTGCTCTTCACTAACCTGTTTTTGTTTCTTTTCTATTCCCTGTAAGCACAGAGTAGGTCAGAAATCCCTAAACCAGTATAAAGAAACACCAGCTGTGCAATTTACTGCAGAGTTTTTACTCCGAGGATATACACATACATCTCTAAGATGGGGAAATTGTAAGCATTATTTGCCAAACTTATTTAACCATGAAATCAGCCACCCACTTGTTTTCCAGGACATCTTGTGGGATAACATTCCACAAAATGCTCTTGGGAAACTGCTCATTCTAAACAAGTGGTTCTCAGCGTAGGACTATTTTGTTCCCCAGGAGACATTCAGCAACATCGGAGACATTTTTGATAGTCAGACTAGGGACCTCTAATAAGTGGAGACCTGGGAGGTTACTAAATATCCTATAATGTACAGGACAGACCCCGCAGCATAGAATTATCTGACCCAAAATGTCAATAATGTGGAGGTTGCAAACCTCTGGTCTAAAACTAGTGTTGACCTAACTGGTTTGGCTCAGTGGATAGAGCATCGGCCGTAAGACTGAAGGAACTCCCAGGTTTAATTCTGGTCAAGGGCACATGCCTGGGTTATGGGCTCGATCCCCAGCAGGGGGCATGCAGGAGGCAGCCAATCAATGATTCTCTCTCCCCATTGATGTTTCTCTCTCCCTCTCCCTTCCTCTTTGAAATCAATAAAAATATATTAACTCTAGTATTTCCAAACTTCCTGTGATAAGAGTTCCCTGGGATCTTTGTTAAAATAGTTTTCCAGACCCCTTCCTTCCAGAGATTATAATTTGCTGAGTCTAGCAGAGGTCGGGGTCTTCAACAAAAAGATTAGTATTAAGCAAATTTGGGCAACTGTTCTTAATTCATGTCCGGTCAGCTGGGAGACTAATATTAAGCTTTGTTTAAAATAGTGGTTCTCAAACTTGAGTTTGCATCCGAATCATCTGGAGAGTTTATTAATGTACAGACTGCTGGATACACCTCCAGAGTTTCTGTGGGTCCCACGAATTTGCATTTCTAACAAGTTCCTAAGATATGCTGCTGTGGCTAGCGGCACTTTGGGAACCACTGGTTTAAGGCGTTTCTTCTCCTGTAGGTGGGGATGCCTCCATCATTCCAATGCTCGAGTTTGAAGATCAGCCTTGCCATCCTGTCAGTAGAGATTGGGCCCAAAACCCACCAATGGAAGCCAGTGGTAACCTGGAAGCTACTGAAGATAAAAGGAACCGTGAAGACCCAGACGGTCCCGTGACCAAAAAAATGAGGCTGGAGCCCGGAACTCCTGACAGAAAAGTCACCAACGGTGTGGCTCACCATCAGAGTTTTGGCAATCAGGGGAGTGTCAGCAGCTCTAACGTCACCTCAGAGGAGCTGGCCGCTGTTCCTGGGATGGCCCCCAGGGGTCCCAAAGTGGTGGATGTTTACAGGACCGGAGCCAAGTGTGTGCCTGGCGAAGCTGGAGACTCGGGGAAGCCTGGTGCTGCGTATCACCGCGTAGGGCTGCTCCGAGTGAAGCCAGGCCGCGGAGACAGGACTTGCTCCATGTCCTGCAGCGACAAGTTGGCACGGTGGAACATCCTCGGATGCCAGGGGTCACTGCTGATGCACTTCCTGGAGCAGCCTGTGTACCTGTCGGCCGTGGTCATCGGGAAGTGCCCGTACAGCCAGGAAGCCATGCAGAGAGCGCTGGTTGGGAGGTGAGAGGGCAGGGAGGGGGGCTCCAAACATTTAGCGTTGTGTGTCATCATTTTTAAAAAAGAAAAGGAAATCGCTAAAATGGCCAGCAATACATCAAGTGATTTGTGTTAAAATGTCTACTGAGGTAAGATATGTACACAGATAATAATTTAATTTAAAAAAAAATTTTTTTAAACTCTACTGAGGAAATTTAATATGGTAAGATGCACATTTTGAAAGAACAATTTAGAAGATAAAAGTAAGTTCATTTTAGTCTTAAAGACATATGATATAGAAAAAGATTGTAGGAGCCGAAACCGGTTTGGCTCAATGGATAGAGCGTCAGCTTGGGGACTGGAAGGTCCCGGGTTCGATTCCGGTCAAGGACATGTACCTTGGTTGCGGGCATATCCCCAGTGGGGGGGGTGCAAGAGGCAGCTGATCGATGACTCTCTCTCATCGATGATTCTAACTCTCTATCTCTCTCCCTTCCTCTGTACAAAATCAATAAAATAAATTTAAAAAAAAAAAAAAGATTGTAGGAAGTATACACAATATACACAAAGCTATTAATATTTATTACCACTGAGATGTGGCATTATTGGTACATTATTGGTAGTTTTTTCTTCTTTGCGATTATTGTATTTTCTAATTTTTCTACAGTATACACATATTGCTGTTACATTTTTTTTTTAAAAAAACCCTCAAACATTAGTGTTAATTTTTAAGAAGGTAAATGAAGGCAGCTAACGCCCATGAATGCTGTGGTAACTGAGGGCAGAATGAAGCCATGGCCAGGGGAAGGCCTGTGTCAGATGGCCTTTGCCTCTCACCGAGACACAGGGCTGGTGCTGTGGTCCACAGGCCCAGATACTCTCTTTCTCAAGGAGTGTGCCTAAACTGAATGCATTTTCCGTCACGTGTAGGTGTCAGAATGTCTCCTCTTTACCCAAAGGCTTTGGCGTTCGGGAAGTGAAAATACAGCAGTCGGGTTTACTGTTCGAGCAGAGCCGCTGTGCAGTGCAGGCCAAAAGGGCCGACAGTCCAGGGCGACTTGTTCCTTGTGGAGCAGGTAAGGGACCAGGTTCCACTTGCCCTGGAGCAGCTTGTCCCCAGACCATGCATCCTCGGGACGGGCTGCATCCTCGGCCTGGGGAGGCCGTTTACCATGCAAACAGTCAATAGTGTGGACTTTGGAGACACCCACACAGGTTCATACTCTATGTGACCCTGGGCAACCTACTTATCATCCTCTTTCAGCCTCATTCCTTCACCTGTAGATAAGAATATAATTTGTTTTTCAGGGCTGTTATGAGGATTAAATGAGAAATTCTGTTTCATTCATTTACTGTGTGTTTAGCATATAAGAAATGCTCAGTGATAGTTAGTTGTTATGATGATGATAAGGAGGAGGAGGATTAATTATGAACCACTTGTACTCTGGAAGCCAAGGGTCAGAGTGACCTTCATTATGCCTGACATAATATCTTAGCTCTCATGGGTCTGCAGAAGCAGGGAAATGTTTTTATTAAAACACTTCTGGGGTTATTGGAAAAATGAACAGTTTTAACTCTAGAATCTTATCTTTTCACAGCCATCAGCTGGAGTGCAGTTCCTGAGCAGCCATTGGATGTCACTGCCAGTGGCTTTCCGCAGGGAACAACAAAGAAGGGAATCGGAAGCCTTCAGGCCAGGTACAGCACATTGGGACAGAGGGAGACGGGTATACCACACCACTAATTCCACAACATCTCATCATCCCCAAAAGAAAACCCTATATCCGTTAACGGTCACTCCCCACACTTCCTTCTCCCCATTTCTGGCAACCCCTAATTTCCATTCTGTCTTCACAGCTTTATCTATTCTAGATGTGTCATATAAATAGTATCATAATCATGTGGCCTTTTATGTCTAACTTAATTCACTTAGCATTTTTTTCAAGGTTCATCTATGTTGTAGCATTTATCAGTTCTTCATTCTCTTTTTTGGCTAAATAATACTCCATTGTATGATTATATCACCTTTTGTTTATCTGCTCATCCATTGATGAACATTTGGCTTGCTTCACTTTTTGGCTGTTATGAATAAATGCTGCTATGAACATTTGTAACAAGACTTCGGGTGGACATATGCTTTCAGTCCTCTTGTGTGTACCTAGTAGTGGAATTCCTGAGTATTAAGATAACCTTACATGCCCTAACTGGTTTGGCTCAGTGGATAGAGCATCAGCCTGCAAACTGAAGGGTCCCAGGTTTGATTAAGGTCAAGGGCATGAACCTTGGTTGCGGGCACTCCTCAGTAGGGGGCGTGCAGGAGGCAGCTGATGGATGTTTCTCTCTCATCAATGTTTCTAACTCTCTATCCCTCTCCCTTCCTCTTTCTAAGAAATCAATAAAATATCTTTTTTTTTAAAAAAGATAACTTTACATTTAACTTTTAAGGTACGGCCAAACTATTTTCCATAACAGCTATACCATTTTAGTTGAATTTCTTTTTTTTCTTTCTTTTTTAATTAGAGAGAGAGGAAGGGAAAGGATAGAGAGACAGAAACATCAGTGAGAGAAAAACATTGATTGGCTGCCTCCTGCACACCCTTTTCTGGGGATTGAGCCCAAAACCTGGGCATGTGCTCTGATCAGGAATCAGTCCCCCGCCCAATCTTTGTTCCCGGGTCAATGCTCAACTACTACTAGTAAACCACACCAGCTGGGCACAGCTACACCATTTTTTAAAATATGTATATATATTTTATTGATTTCAGAGAGGAAGAGAGAGAAAGAGATAGAAACATCAATGATGAGAGAGAATCATTTGTCAGCTGCCTCCTGCACACCCCACACTGGGGATTGAGTCTGCATGTGTCCTGACCAGGAATCAAACCGTGACCTCCTCGTTCATAGGTTGATGCTCAACCACTGAGCCACACCAGCAGCTACACCATTTTAAAACTTCCACCAGCAATGTATGAGTTTCAGTTATCCTACATCATTTATAATACTTGTTATTGTCTGTCTTTTATATTAAAGCCATTCTAGTGTGTGTAAGGTGCTCTCTCACTGTGGTTTTGATTTGCATTTCCCTGATAACTCATGATCTTAAGAAGTATCTTTTCACATACTTTATTAGCCATTTGTATATCTTCTTTGAAGGAACATCTATTCAGATCCTTAGCCCATTTTTTAAAATTGCTTTATTTATCTTTTATTTTTGAGTTGTAAGATTTCTTTATATATTCTAGTCACTAGTCCTTTATCAGATGCACTTTTATAAATATTTTCTCCCATTCTGTGGGCTGTCTTTCTTCCTATCTTTTTTTTTTAATATGTATATTTTATTGATTTTTTTACAGAGAAGAAGAGAGGGGGATAGAGAGTTAGAAACATCGATGAGAGAGAATCATCGATCAGCTGCCTCCTGCACCCCCCCCCCCCCCGGGGATTGTGCATGCAACCAAGGTACATGCCCTTGACCGGGATCGAACCTGGGACTCTTCAGTCCACAGGCCGACGCTCTATCCTCTGAGCCAAACCGATCTCAGCTGTCTTCCCATCTTTTGACAGTGTTTAAAACATCTAAAATTTTGATATCTATTTTTTTTTTTTTGGTTCTTTATGCATTTGGTGTCATGTCTAGGAAACCATTGCCTAATCCAAGGTTACAAAGATTTACTCTGTTTTCTTCTGATAGTTTTATAGTTTAGCTCTTACGCTTTTGATTAGTCCACTTTGAGTTACTTTTTCTATAAGGTGTGAGGTAGGGACCAACTTCATTCTTTGATATTCAGTTGTCCCAGCACCATTTTTTTAGAAACACTGTTCTTTCCCCCTGGGAGATTTTGAAAAGAATATTTAATTGGGCTTTTCCACTAGGGATTCTGGCTTAGTAGGTCAAAGTTGGAACCCAAGAATCACTTATAATAAAGCTCCCTAGTGATTGTATTGGCAAAAGGGCACCCTGAAAATAAGATTTTGTGTCTTCAAATTGGCTTTTGCTGAAGTACAGAGCTTATGAGCTGATGGACATGAGATAGTTATTGTTGTGTGTTTAGAGATTCATATATCTATCTTACTGGTTCTTCTTGTGCTAAATGCTCAGCTGGTCTCATCTACCCTGCTTTTTCCTCCTACTGAGCCACAGGTGTACTGCAGAAGCCTCAGGGTGGGAGGGGTTGTGGGGGAGTGGCCTCTCCACCACAATCTGGGTTGAGCTGTGAAATTGAACTTCACAGGTGGATTTTTTTTTGACATGTTTATTTGCCTGAATCAACACAAACAACTACTAATTATATCTTATTAGACTTTAAAAAAAAAAAAAAAAAAAAAGGTTCATTCTTCACAGCCATTAACCAGCTTTTAAATGGTCTAGATGGCAGACGTGGCCTGTCCCTGGTGGCCTAGGATGTTGAATTGAACAATGTTTACAAAACTGTTTTAGGTAGAGAGTTTTGGAAACCCCCCCTTACCTCCCCACCTTCCTTGGCTTCAGGCCACCATTGTCAGCACCTCTCTGGGGCCCAAGGATGTGTGAGCAGAGCACAGGAACCACATGTTTCCTGCTGAGTCTTGGTGAGGGGCTTACGGCAACTCTTACCGGCCCCACCCACCTGACTGTGGTTTAGGTTTGCTACTTTGCTTAAGTCTAAAAATGCTCTTCTTTACTGTGAATCCACACACTCTTTTACTTGAAACATTCAGCTCAACCACCACTGCCTTCTGGCTCAAAATGATCATCTTTTCTCTAAATTCCCAAGGTAGTGTTCTCCAGCTTCTCCCAACGTGCCATTGATTTCTGTGTGATTGGGGGTGTCTCCGTTCCCACCTTGGGTCTGTCTCTGGTTATCCAGGTGACTTTGAACAAGCCGCCTGCCCTGTGTTCATCTCTAAAACGAGGACATTGGAGTAGAAGACCTGAGGTCTCTGACACATTGTTTCTCTGCACTGAGAAGGCAAACTCCACACAGAGAGGAAGTATTTGGTCGGAAAAGCAGGCGCTTTGTACTTCCTGTCTCCCTTTCTCCCTGGTTGTGTGAACTTGTCTGGCCTCTGAGCTCCCGTTTCCCCAGCAATGAAGCAGGGGTAACCAAGAGTATGTATTGCACAGGAACGTTGTGAAAATTGAAGGAGAAGATGCCTCTAACATGGTGCAGGGCTTGCAGTAGACATCTTGTTAATTAAGATGGATTTTCCCTTCATTTGTCAAATAAAGCTTCATATTACTTGTGAAAGAGTAAGTTTTATTCTAAAGACCAGCAGCTGCTGGGAAGAAAGCAGGTTTCCTCATTGCTCATTCCTGAGTGCTGGCATCCAGAGACTACCACCTTCTTTAGAACTCTAGGAAATAGGAACTCAGACTGGGACAATATACTAGTGCAACACTAAAGGAACTTATTTTATTTAAATCTTCTTGTTTTCATTTGTTTGTTTTTTAACAACAATGAGCTAACAGGACTCTCATTTTTGTAAAGCTTAATTTTACCCTGCTTCTTACAGGCAAATCCTTTTGCCCTAAAATGGAAAATTCTCTTCCCTCCCTGTCCAGATAACAAGCATCCCAGGGAATTATTATATAGCTCATTGGATTATAAAAGAAAAGACTGAGGGATTACAAAATAAATGTATATCTAAGTATGTTAGAGTAAGGATAGTGCTAGATCGAAAATATCAATGTGAAGGTGTAATCTTAAAAAAAAATTTAAAAAAAAATTATGGGCCCTGGCTCAGTTGATTGAACATCATTCAGTGCACCAAAAGGTGCATGATTCCCAGTCAAGGAACACATACCCAGGTTGTGGGTGTGATCTGATAGGGGTGTGCAGGGAGGCAACCAATCAATGTTTCTCACATCGATGTTTTTCTCTCTCCCTATCTCCATCTCTCTCTCCCTTCCTCTCTCTAAAATTAATTTTAAAATATTTTTTAAGCCTTAGCTGGTTTTGCTTAGTGACTAGATTTTCAGCCTGCGGACTGAAGGGTCCTGGGTTCAATTATGGCCAAGGGCACATGCTTGAGTTGCAGGCTCAATTCCCAGTAGGGGTATGCAGGAGGCAGCCAATCAGTGGTTCTCATCATTGATGTTTCAGTCTCTCTCTCCCGCTCCCTTCCTCTCTGAAAACAATAAAAATATATTTTAAAATATATGTTTTTTAAATTACATATGTATGTATAGCTTTCTTAAGTCTTCTTATATATATTTCAGTAAAATTTAATTTTCTTCATATAAATCTCACATCTTTGCCCTAGCCAGTTTTGCTCAGTGGTTACAGTGTTGGCCGGGCGTCTGAAGGGTCCTAGGGTCAATTCTGATCAAGGGCACATTACCTCGGTTGCAGGTTCGATCCTGGCCCTGGTCAGGGCGCGTGTGGGAGGCAACCAATCCATGTGTCTCTTTCACATCAATTTTTTTTTCTCTGTCTCTTCCTCTCCCTTCCACTCTCTCTGAAAATCAATGGGGAAAAAATATCCTCAGGTGAGGATTAACAAAAAAAACTCACATATTTTATGAGTTTTTTCCTTGAATGTTATATTAATTATCTCTTGCTGTGTAACAAATTGCCCCCCAAAATTTAATGGCTTAAAGCAACAATCAACATTTATTATTTCCTATTTCTGTGGGTCAGGAATTTGGGAGGAGCTTAGCTGGATAATTCTGACTCAGTGACTCACAAGGTTGTGCAGTCCAGTATGTCAGCTGGGGCGGCAGTCATTTAAAGGCTTGACTGTGATTAGAGGTTCCAGTTCCAAAATGGCTCGCTCATGTGGCTGGCAGGTCAGTGCTGGCTGTCGCAGGAGGCCTCAGTTCCTCACGACTTGGATCTCTCCATAAGGCTACCTACTATCTTCCTCTTTACAACACGGTGGCTGAGGTCCCCCAGATCAAGTGACTCAAGAGAACAGGGCAGGAGCCACAGAGTCTTTTATGGCCTAACCCCAGAAGTCACCCTGCACCTGCAACCTCCTAATGGCTATACAGGTCAGTCCCCTTCAGTGTGGGAGGGGATTGCACAGAGGCATGGGTTCCAGGAGGCACGAATCACCACCTTAGAGGTTGGGTACAATAGATGTAAGTTCTTTTTATTTCATTTTCTGGGCATTGTTTCTGAAATCAATTTTTTGTTTCTCTCTGCTGCAATCAGTGTTTGTATCCAGCAACTTCTGCTAACACGTATTATCCTATTATTTTATTTAAGAATTCCTTTGGCGGGTCGGGTGCGGCCAGGCCCGGAGCAGCGGCTGCCAGGCTGGGAGCGGCCAGGCCCGGGGGAGCAGGCGGGTCGGGTGCGGCCAGGCCCGGAGCAGCGGCTGCCAGGCTGGGAGCGGCCAGGCCCGGGGGAGCAGGCGGGTCGGGTGCAGCCAGGCCCGGAGCAGCGGCTGCCAGGCTGGGAGCGGCCAGGCCCGGGGGAGCAGGCGGGTCGGGTGCGGCCAGGCCCGGAGCAGCGGCTGCCAGGCTGGGAGCGGCCAGGCCCGGGGGAGCAGGCGGGTCGGGTGCGGCCAGGCCCGGAGCAGCGGCTGCCAGGCTGGGAGCGGCCAGGCCCGGGGGAGCAGGCGGGGCTGGTGCGGCCAGGCCCGGAGCAGCGGCTGCCAGGCTGGGAGCGGCCAGGCCCGGGGGAGCAGCCGGGTCGGGTGCGGCCAGGCCCGGAGCAGCGGCTGCCAGGCTGGGAGCGGCCAGGCCCGGGGGAGCAGGCGGGGCTGGTGCGGCCAGGCCCGGAGCAGCGGCTGCCAGGCTGGGAGCGGCCAGGCCCGGGGGAGCAGCCGGGTCGGGTGCGGCCAGGCCCGGAGCAGCGGCTGCCAGGCTGGGAGCGGCCAGGCCCGGGGGAGCAGGCGGGGCTGGTGCGGCCAGGCCCGGAGCAGCGGCTGCCAGGCTGGGAGCGGCCAGGCCCGGGGGAGCAGCCGGGTCGGGTGCGGCCAGGCCCGGAGCAGCAGCTGCCAGGCTGGGAGCGGCTAGGACCGGAGCAGCAGCAACCAAGTCCAGAGCAACTAGGTCGGGAGCGGCAGTGACCAGACCCGGAGCAGCTGATTGTGGAATGAACCAGAGCAACAGAGGCCAGGCCCTGAGCAGCCAGGCCCAGAACAGCTCGCTCCTTGCCTGCCCCTGCCCCACGGCTGCTTCTCAGACATGGCTGGAAACTTTCGTGGGAACTTGAGGGTCTGCTGAATCAAGTGATGAAGGCTTAGATCTGGATGTGTTGAGTTAGTTTAGGACTGGGGTGTTGATCTGTGAGTGCCTTGGGTGGGGCCTAGATGAGGCTGGTTGACCTAGAGGGAAATGTCTTTTGTGTGAAGTGTATCATTGGGCATGTGGAGGTATTATTGATATGAGAAAATGCTAAATAACTGATTTACTATCTGAAAAGGGATTTACTATTGGGGAAATTGAGGGAAGAAGAGACTGAACATAAACTGCACCTATGGATGAGGACAATGGGGGGGGGGGACGGAGGGTGGGGTGGGAACCTGGTGGAGGGGGGAAGAAATGAGGAACCTTTGTAATAATATGAACAATAAAGATTGATTAAAAAAAAAAAAAAAAAAAAAAAAAAGAATTCCTTTGGAATTTTTAAAATTTTTATTTTTATTGATTTTTAGAGAGAGTAAAAGAAACATTGATTTGTTGTTCCACTTATTGATGAACTTATGGGTTACCTCTTATATGTGCCCTGACTGGAGATTGAACCCCAAATCTTGGCGTATCAGGACGATGTTCTAACCAACTGAGCTACCCAGCCAGAGTCTAGAATTTTTTTTTTATTAAGGTATTATATGTGTACATATCTTTCCATTGCCCAGGGTCTAGAATTTTTTAATATAGATAATCTTTTGTAAGTAGCATTTCCTTTCTAATCCTCCATTCCCTTCATTTTTTTAAAAAAATATATTTTATTGATTTTTCACAGAGAGGAAGAGAGAGGGATAGAGAGTTAAAAACATCAATGAGAGAATCATTGATCAGCTGCCTCTTGCACACCCCCTACTGGGGATGTGCCCGCAACCAAGGTACATGCCCTCGACCGGAATCGAACCCGGGACCTTTCAGTCCGCAGGCTGACGCGCTATCCATTGAGCCAAACCGATCCCGGCTCCCTCCATTTTTTTTGTGCTGGCTAGAACTGACAGCATCACACTCATCTGCAAATAATGGCTTTGGTTTTTGCTTTGCTTTTCTTATACATATATTCTTATTTATTTCAGAGAGGAAGGGAGAGGGAGAAAGAGATAGAAACATCAGTGATGTGAGAGAACCATTGATCGACTGCCTCCTACACACCCTCTACTGGGGATAGAGCCCGGGCATGTGCTCTTGACTGGAATCAAATGTGGGACCCTTCAGTCTACAGACCGATGCTCTATCCACTGAGCCAAACCAACGAGAGCTAGTTTTTGCTTTTCAATCTTTATTCCTTTTATTTGTCTTAATAGTCCAGAACCTTCTGTATAATGTTAGATAAAAGCAGTGATAACAAGTACTCTTGTCTTATTCCTGATTTAAGGACATATATTTGCTGTAGGTTGTTATAGATACGCTCCGTGAATATCAATACCTTTCTTAGTTCTCATTTGTAAAAGGTTTTACATCATTTGATGGATGTTGAATTCTAACAGATGCTTTATCTGCATGCATTTTCCTTATAGTTATATTACTTTTCTTCCTCTAATCTGTTAATGAGATGAGTTCCATTATTTTTTGGCTTTGGGTGTTTTTTAAACATTAAAGCAGCTTTATATTCCTGAGTGCCAATAGCCACTTCCCACAATTCAGGCCCAGGGAAAGCAGCCTGTGAGGGCTCACGGTTCTGGTTTAGGCAGTGATTCTTCTCAGGAAGCCAGGGCCCAGCCAGGTAAGGGAGCTCTTGACAGATTGTACAATCCCCTGCGTCATATATACCCATATGGCCACTGTGTCCAAGCTGATGGTGCCATGTGTGGAAACAGTGAAGGATACGGTGTGTAGGTATGACACACATTGTGGCCCACACAACAGTTCCCTACTGCTAGATCAGCTCATGAATTGTTTATGAGGGAAAGGAAGGAGGTACACGCAGTCTAGGACGCACCAACCTGGGTGGGCCGAACCAAGAAGCCCAGGGGAGCTGGTGAGGAGGTGGCACACTCACCTCCTTCACTGATCCTCACGAAGACCTCCGTGAGGCTCGGGGTCAGAAGCAGCGGGTTGGCCTGCAATGGCTCGTGTGCCCAGAGGGAGAGTCTGGAGATTCTGCCTCAGATGGCTCATCAAGTGGGCTTCCTACAGGGAGCAGCACACAAGGTTCTGAAACAAAAGCTTTTAATTTCTTGTAAACAGTGTTACCCAAAGGGCCAGCTCCCTTGAAAGGAGGTAGCCAAGGTGGCTGATAGGTATTCTGGGGGGAGTTTGGTAATTTCACCTCTGCCTTTACCCCATTTGAACCCGTCCCTTGATGATTTCACCGCTGGTGACATTTCTAAAGATGAGATTCATTTTTGTGCCTCAACCTAATCAAAGCCTCAGGTGTAGATTTTCTCCTTGCCAGTACAGGTGAATGGCGCATGCAAACTTCAATACCACGTGAAGCCTCACATCTTTGATAGGAATCTGGTACATAGCAAACATCTAATAAATCCTTTTGTCTTCTTCCAAACAGATCTCGAATCAGCAAAGTGGAACTCTTTAGATCATTCCAGGAGCTGCTAAGCAGTATTTCAGAGGACAAGTGGCCAGACTCCCTCAGGTAACAGTATTGACCAGTGGGTGCTTATTATTGACCACATGCTCTTCCATCCCATATCCATGGCCTTGCTCATAGATACGTGTATGATCTGAGGTTTGAGGATGGGTGGTTTGTGGTACAAACCTTTTCAGACAATAACTCCCTAGAGTCATGCAAAACTTCACAGGATAAAGGCACCGTCCTCACAAACTGCCCTCACTTCAGATGCTAGCCACAAGCTTGGGGGCCGCAAGGCACTCATACTTCTGACCAACTGACTGCAAACCCAGGGGTTCCCACTCATGTTCAGTAATTCACCAGCACAAGTGATAGAGTTCAGAAAAGCACTGTAGTTACAATTAGCTTTTACCTTTTAAAAAATACGAGTTAGGCCAAAACCGGTTTGGCTCAGTAGATAGAGCATCGGCCTGCGGACTCAAGGGTCCCAGATTGGATTCCCATCAAGGGCATGTACCTTGGTTGCGGGCACATCCCCAGTAGGGGGTGTGCAAGAGGCAGCTAATCGATGTTTCTCTCTCATCGATATTTCCAACTCTTTATCCCTCTCTCTTCCTCTCTGTAAAAAAAATCAATAAAAATATATTTTTTTAAATAATAAATAAATAAAAAATACGAGTTAGGCTCTAGCTGGTTTGGCTCAGTGGATAGAGTATTGGCCTACGGACTGAACTGTCCCAGATTCCATTCTGGTCAGGGCACATGCCTGGGTTGTGGGCTTGATCCATCATGGGCATGCAGGAGGCAACTGATGAGTGATTTTCTCTCATCATTAATGTTTCCGTCACTCTCCCTCGCCATCCCTGACTTAAATCAATAAAAATATATTGGAGGAAAAACGAAATGAGTTAAGACCAGCTAGAAGAAGGAACGAGGTCGGGGAGAGTCCCAAAGTTGATGTTTCCACATCCCAAGGATGCATCACCCTTTCAGCACCAACCAAGAAGTTGACCTGCGCTTCTGGGTCCAGAGTTATTGGGGTTTTATTAATAAGCATGGTTGATTGACTCATAGTTCACCTGATGTGATTGAACTCAGTCTTCGTCTCTTCCTCCCACCCTAGGGGATTATAGTGGTACCAGGTGTCTCAGTGCTCCATTTCTCTCATCTCCTGGTTGGTCTTTCTGGTATGGCCAGCCCCATTCTGAAACTCTCGGGCCCACCATGAGTTAACTTGATAAACATAAACTTAGGTGTGATCTCAGGGTGTGCCATGAATAACAAAAACAGTCCTATCACTTGGGAAATTCTAAGGATTTAGAGGTTCCCATTCAGGAACTGGCAACAAAGACCAGCCAAAATCTTTATTATATAACAGTAGGAAAGCAGCAGAGTGGCCAGAAACTTCTATATGAAGAGGCTAGCCACTGTTCTCACCATCATCCATACTGTGGTCAGTATTGATGCCCTTCGGTCTTCAGTGGTCAGTTTTTTTGTTTCTATTCTAGAAAAACGAATCAAGCTGGAATTGAGTGGGTTTCCAAACATTCTGTGTGTTAAAAACAAATCTGGACTTAGGTAAGGAGAGACTACTTAAAAGGATTATTGCAGTAAGAGAAGGGGTCTATTACAATAGGAGGTTTAATGCAATGGCAAGAACACTCCAATCATAAACTTTGTAAGCCTCTCAAAGGGCAGATGGAAAGGGGTTTTCTTTTATACAGAGGGGTATACAAGACTAAACAGAACCTGGAATGGGGGAGTGGGATGAGCAGGTGGTGTAATGGGACAATAGAACAGGAAATGTCCTCTCTTGCTGTCAGTCAATTCTCAGGAAGGGGTGTTAAGGGTTTGTTATACATTCTGATGCTGGCTCAGGATGAGGATGGATCAAAGTTCTGGGCCTGAGCTAAGGAGAGAAGTGTAATATTTGGTCAAGTTACCAGGTATTATTTGTCAAGATTGGTCAGTGGTTTCAGCTAATCATTATGAGGCAAAGAATGGGAATTCAATGGGTCTGTGTCTGGCCTCTCATAGGTAACCCAGGGGGGCATCCATGAGTCTTATCTAAGTCATGGGGAAAGGCAGTTCTTTGTGATCAGCCATTTCTCAGGACATAGAAGGATGGGAGGGAGGTTTTTTTTTTAACCATCACTGTGTTTTAGAAACTCAGGGCTTAGGTAAAGTATAACATTGTCATGTGTATAGATCCCACCCTTTAACCAACAAAAAGCTGTAGGAAATTGATCAAACAACTGAAATCAATTTTTGCTGCAGTAAGCAACTTGGCCCTGCCGAAGTGAGCTAAGATGCAACTTGGAAGCAGGGAAAAATTGAATCAATAAGACATGGGTATCAGTTTCTTCAACTATAAGATGCAAGGACAGAGCTCAAGGTCCTAGTTGAGAAAAGGGTTCCAAGGAGCTTGATTCAGATTTGGTCAAAGGAGAGAAGAGTCTGTCACAAGAAAATCTTTTAACAGGATATAAGTATTCAGATATTACTCAACATGGCCATTTTTTAAAAATATATTTTATTGATTTTGTACAGAGAAGAAGGGAGAGAGATAGTTAGAAACATCGATGAGAGAGAGTCATCGATCAATTGCCTCCTGCACACCCCCTACTGGGGATATGCCCGCAACCAAGGTACATGCCCTTGACCGGAATTGAACCCGGGACCCTTCAGTCCCCAAGCCGACGCTCTATCCATTGAGCCAAACCGGTGTCGACAACATGGCCATTTTTTAACAGGCAGAGACGACTGAGGGATTGGGAGGGATGCTGGCTGGTAAAGGAGAGTATGTGTAGAATGGAAAGTGCTTTGCTTTGTTAGGGAAAATGCAGCCAAGAGGTTTCTAATGGCTCTGTGCTCTGGTGGAAATTACAGACACTTAGGAAACTTTAAACCAAAAATATAACAGTTATTATTGTTTTATCTGATTTCACCAGGACCAGACAAAGCTAGTATTCTGTTTAGTCTTGCCTGTTTTATGTGGGGGTTTTTTATTATTATTTTTTATTGCTTTCAGAGAGGGAGAAGGAGAGGGAGATAGAAACATCAATGATGAAAGAGAATCATTGATCAACTGCCTCCTGCACACCCCATACCATGGATGATCCCACAATCCTGATATATATATACCTTGATTGGGGATCGAACTGTGATCTCCTGGTTCATAGGTCAGTGATCAACCTCTGAGCCACACTGGTTGGGGTGTTTTTCTTGTGAGAGGTTTTAATTGATTTTGGAGATAGGAAGGGGAGAGAGAGAGAAACACCGATTAGTTGCCTCTTGCACATTCCCTGACTAGGGCCAGGGATCAAATTTGCAACCTGGGTTTGTGCCTCAACACCTTTCAGTGTATGGGACGATGCTCCAGGCAGCTGAGCCACACTTGCAAGGGCTCATTTCCTCCCTGTTTCAATCCATGTTACTTTGCAGTGAATTTCCTACAAAGGAGCCAGAGTCTCTTTAGGAAAGCATACTAAGATCATCCTGTTCCTAAGTCTCTTGTAGTAAATCTGAACAGTTGATTGCTCAGGTGTCTCGTTGGCCGTGGTGGTGAGCTGTTCAGTGAGAACCTATGTGCTTGGTGGGATGTGTGCATTAGGGTGCGGAAGCTGGAAACATACCTGGAGTACAAGGAGGCTGCATCTGCTTACCAGGAAGCCTGGAGCGCACTCCGGAAGCAGGCCTTTGGGTCCTGGATCAGAAACCCCCCGGATTACCACCAGTTTAAATGAGAAGAGAAAGTCTGCAAAGAGCTGATTGACAGCAAGGTATCTTCCAGCCCTTCATGCTGGACCATAGTTTTCCCTTGGTGCTGGACAAGCCCTAGCTTTTCTTGAGGCTGAATGAGAACAAAAAGTCTGCCTTCTGCCAGAGCAGCATATCTCTTCTGTGCTAGAGGGATGGGACTGCGGAACATGGAACAATCTATACTTGACTGAGCAGCTGTCTGCGAAAATGGAATCTCACTAACGACCGTGGTATCTATCTGTCCTGACTTGTTTTTTATTGCTTCTCTGAAATATGAACTAAGAATTTGAAATACTATGATACTTTAAAAGTGATGCTCTGCTTTGTATTCCTACATTAATTCAGGAAATGTATTGGGCTGAGATGATGTTTTCATCTCCGCAAGTTCTAGAGCTTTGCCTTGTCTAGTGGAGGTATATTTCATACACCCCAGCCTCTCTTCCTTCAGAGAGCCACCCTTTCCTGCTCAGTGGGAAACTCTATGCAACCATGAGTCTTGGTTGAAGCAAACCTTATTCCTGGCTCCAGGAATGTGAGCTAGCCCTGGACAGTCTGGAACTATTGCCAGAGCTATCAGGAAAGATTCTCGTATCGGGAGCTGTAAGAGCCACAACATAATCTTGGAACTTGCCCTCCACATAAAGACAGCCAGGTTGAGGATTAAGGCAACCAAGAATGAAACCGTCAAGAGAATCAAGGCTCTGGTGACCTTGTTTGGATGCTTAAAGCTAGGGCCCACCATGGACTTGAATTATGTGAGATAAATCCCTATTGTTTTGAGTAGGCCTTGCTGATCCCAGAGAGACTGCTCCTCCCAGGACTAGCCTATCTCTACAGATAGGACGACTCATCTGTGAGTCTATCTTTTATATGCAAACCAACCAGTCCAGAGCTCCTGCTCAAACCAGCTCCTGTGTGGGGCACACTCTGGGCCACCTTCTACCTGCCCTAATCACCCCAGAGACAAGTCCCAGAAAGGCAGGGACAGCCTCTTTGCCTCGGCATACACTGAAATCAGCCAAACTGACCAACCCCAAGCCTGCTTCCCTGTCCTGCCCTTTTCCCCCATCCCATAATGACTCATGCCCACATTACCTTCTCACTCTCTCTGCCTCCTGATTGACCCTAGTGCTTCCACGTGTTGCTCCTTGTGCCACAGCATGCTGCCTCCTCCTACATTTTATTTATTTTTAATTTTTTTCTGCATTGATTAGGGTATTACGTATGTGTCCTTATTCCCCCATTGCACACCCCCCCCCCAATATCCCATCCTACATTTTAAAACTCTCTCAATGGAGTCACATGCATCCGGCAGTAAATTCTCCCAACAACAAAGTACATTCAAACTGTTGCCAATCAGGAAGCTCACCTGAGCTTTTGGTGTTAATACAAGACATCCAACCCTCCACAACAAAGAGTTATCTGGCCTGAAAGGTCAACAATGCTGAGGTTGAGACAACCTGGCCCAGGGATTGTTTTAAAGTCACGACATAGTTCCTCTAAGTTATTACTCCAAATCTACACACTATTAATTTTGTCTCATTTTATTTTCAGCTATTGGTGGACATTTCATTCTTTCCTTTGGAAATGCTTTGTGAATAAGCTACATGAAATATTTTGTTTTTTGCAATGGATTTAGAAGTGGGATTTGCTAAATCAAAGGATAAATGAACAATTAATTTTGCTTTACTTAAATATATCTTCAAAATTTGATTCTAACTATGAGTGCAAAGAATAAAGCAAAATGCAAGACAGCATAAGAACATTTCATTTGTATAAAAAAGAACAATGAGCCCTAGCTGGTTGGGCTCAGTGAATAGGGTGTCAAACACCTGTGGACTGAAGGGTCCCAGGTTTGATTCCAGTCAAGAGCATATGCCCGGGTTTTGAGCTCCATCCCCAGTGGGGGCCGTGCAGGAGGCAGCCAATCAATGGTTCTCTCTCATCATTGATGTTTCTCTCTCCCTCTCCCTTTCTCTCTAAAATCAATAAAAATATATATTTTGTAAAAGAACGATGAAAGTTATATATCTGTTTTGTTTGTATATGTTAGACTATCTCTGAATAGATAGATACACAAGAAACCACTAACACAGGCTACGGGAAAGAAAGGGAGTGGCCGGACACTTGTTCCTGAAGACCCTTTATATTCTGTTACTAAAAAAAAATAAAAAATTGAACCATATTAATGTAGTACCTATTTTTAAAATACACTTTCAGAAATTAAAAAAAAAAAAAAAAAAAGGAAAACGTTTTCTTTATTTAAACTATAGGAACACCAGAAAATATTCAGTGACATTGTATAGGAAAGAAGGATTCACCACATGCTTTCGGCAGCTGTTTATAATTCCACAGAATTATCTCTTTCCTAACAAAATGACTTCTGGAATTTGACTCTTTCAGGGGAGTTTACACTTTTGTTCACAAGTGGGTTCTAATATTATGACTATGTGTGCATCATTTTTTTTCTTTTTCTTTAGAATATTAAAAAAAAAAACAACAGCTTGATTTAATTTTGTGTATCTATTCCATGAAGTCATTTCTGCCTCAAAGCATGGGGTTAAATGCCTTTTTTTCATGGAGTTTGCCAGTGCCAAGCATTAGCTCACTGTCTGGGGAGATGAATCTGCTGTGGAGAAAATGACCCAGCCTGGCCGCCAGCGCTCCGGGAAGAAGAGATGCAGGCACCGTCTGCTTTCATCGTGTCTGTGGAAAGCTGCCTCCACCTGGACCTTGGCAACATTCTTTGGCTGTAAGACAATGTTCTGAGTAAGACTTACTCAAAGTTTTCCAGTTTCTAAAACCCCGTTTCCAGTTTCTAAGTTCCCTTGCTGGCTATTATACACTGAATGGCCAGATTATTATGATTTCTGAACACATAATAATCTGGCCACTCAGTATATAAATGAGGCCCGGTGTATGAATTCGTGCATGGCCAGGGAGAGGGGATATGAGTGGTTGGCCAACCTGCCTACTGGTCAAACTCCTGGTTGAGAAGACAATTTGCATATTAGCCTTTTATTATGTAGGATATACACTGAGTGGCCAGATTATTATGCATCCAGAGATCATAATAATATGGCCACTCAGTGTATTTTCAGCTACTACTGTTCTGGGTTGATGTCTGGCAAGTCAGATGAGCTGTTCAGAGGAGTCTCACTGCAGTAGGAAGGTTACTGACACCAGGAAATGGCCTCCTAGTAGAGAGAGAAGGTGCATATGTGCTCACTTTCAAAGGCTCAAGCAATCCTCTCCACAGAAACAAAGGAAGTGGTTGGATATGCACAGGAAGAGGCAAGAAGGCAGATGTTTTGGGAAAAAGTAACTGTATTTTCCAGAAAGATGAGTTATTTTTATACGGAATCATAATTGGCCTTCATAACCTATAAATGTAAATTCCTTTAAATCTAAATGTGTCTGTACTGGGACGAAGACTGACTTCCTGAAAGGTTTTCCAGATGGATCTAAAACAAAGCTTAAAAAGTACTTGTGGTCCAAAAGGGAGGGCAAACTTCTGCAAAGAGACACTTCAGGGCAGCAGGCAAAGTTGTGTACATTCAATTTTCACTTCTTAAAAGTGGGGCCTCAAACTAATCAAAGGGGACAGAAATCAGAACAGTGGTTGTTGCCTGGTGGGGGAAGATGGGAGATTGGGGTTGAGTGAAAAAGGCCCAAGGGAACTTTCTAGGATGATGGAAACATTTGTTTTGATAAGAGTACTGACTATCTTGAGTGTAAAAAAAATCAAACTTTAGTTAGCTCTACACTTGTAAGATCTCTCCTTATAGGATTGGATATTCAAGTAATTATGTTCTTATACCAACTCTTCTGCTACCTGTGTAGATGTAGGGAAAGTATTTAATCTCTGATTTCTAACCAGTGACCTATTCTACAAAATAAGGTCCCAGCTAGTAGGATGCTCAGTTTTGTTCAGCAGGATTTCTCATAAAAATTCTTAATGGGGTAAATAATACAAGAGAAATTTTCTTCAGGAGACTGAGCCCATTGATGCTTTGAGAAGCATATGGCCTCAGTAATTAATGTCTGTAACAAGGAAGGGATGGAAATAATTCTCATCTGAGTTCCGTAACCTGGATTCTGTATTTGGTGTGGACTTTTTGTGTCTCACCCCAATGAGCGAGCATGATTAGGAACCAGCTTTTAGAAACTAAGCATGTTCAGCATTGCTTTTCAACCTCCAAGTGCAGAAAAGTGCCTTGATGGGGGGAAAGGCGAAGGCAGAAAGTCACTGCAAGCGGGGAGCTAGGCTGCCAAATGTGTCTTGAGCACATGTTCCCTGCACTTGGGCTTGGCTCCAGAGGAGGAGAGCTCACAATGGAAACAGTGATGGCTGTGCACTCAGGCAGCCAAGAGAAAGAAAAGCGCATTGAAATCCCCACTGTCTCCACGGGAAGAGGCCCGGTGGGCCCCTGGGTGGTGAAACCAACCTGACAACAGCCCTTTCCCAGCATCTTTCTTCAGTTCAACAACGGGACCTTGCTGTGCGATCTCTCAGGAAATCTTCGAGAAATTATCCCATGGACAACCCAAGCTCTGCCCAACAATAGATGCACATAGTCTAGGGGGCCCATTTTTGTTGAATTAGGTTCTGATACTTGAGAGAAGAGCTTTTCTTCTGGTGTATTCCACCAGCCACTCCAAGATCTCATCAACTTCCTTTTTTATTCCTGCCCCTCGTGAACTGTCCTGACCTCCAGTGAGTTCCTTTTCAGCTGGTATTTTTAGGCTGTACTTTTGTTCCTCACTCACCCAGCGCCATTGTGAATGCCCTTCATCCTGGCACAGCAGGACCCGCGGGGCTGAGAGACCAGCAGGCAGCTGGAGAAACAAGGCCGCAGGAGCATTCGGCAGAAGCCCTGAGATTGAATTGTACTCCAGGGTGTAAATTGGTTGTGTGATCTTAGGGAGGTAAATACATTATCAGAGTGCCTGTGGGCTCGCCTTTGAGATGAGAGCAGCACTA